TTCTTAGATATAGACTCCGATATATTATTGGGTCAATTGTTTCAATTACAATAATACAGAGAAATAGACGCTCAGGCCGTATTGTTGGTCGTAAAACGGTCGCCACAAATAGAACAGTCGGAACACAAAGTAATAATTGAATGTGTTAATACATAGTGGTAGTACTATATCCATAATGTGGGAACTTACACTGATCGATTTTTACTTACAGGTAAGTAGTAGATCAGACTTATACCCCAGTGAACGAATAATTGTCTCCCCGGGCTTCGAACCCAGTACTTCGAGTATTTATGGTATTGCCAAGAAATTCGTTGAACCATTCGCTAAGGAGATGTCATAACTATAAAAATTGTTTAATTAAAGCGAGACACGGCGACAGATAATTTTTAACTCAACTGTTACGTGTCAGGACTGTTGCTTTTTTAAGGACATCCGTTTTTAATAAACTAAACTAAAACTTGAAGCAAAAATTAATCTATTAATAAAATCGACAAGCAAGTGCGTGAAATACGCAAGATTAATTTGTCTCGTTTGATAGGTATAACACACTCCGGTTTCCGTTTTTTTTTTCAATTACGTTTGCGTATATTACATATACGATTACCGTAACACTAAACACTTGATAAGATTGTCAATAACCCTTCTGTACTCAATGAACAACAGTAGAAAGAATTAAAAAAAGAACAGAGCACTGCTGTATTCTCAATCTGTGGTATTTTTATGATTATGATATACTATAAAAGGCTTTATCATCGCCAAAGTATTATAAAAGCGACAGTGAAGAACATAATCATATATTTATTTACCCATCTTTACCTAAATTAATTTCTATAAAAGTCCAACTAGGCCATTTATAAAATATCTCATTGCACGACATAATTATCACTATATCTACTGTTTACACAACGAAATATTATGTTGCTTGAACATATATTATATTGAAAAACGATAGGTATCTTTATTTTGTAACTTAGTTACAACAATTACACTAAAAGTGCGTTTTTTTATTATTGCATATAGTTGGTCAAAACGAATTATCATCTCGTTATTTCTGTACAGATGATTCATAATATATGAATGATGCCTTATGTGTATTCTTTGTGTATGCGTAGAAGACATCTAGCGCCACAGTGTTATACCTGTTTGGGGTCATTAACCTCATCTTGCGTTCTTTGAGGTCACCTGTACCAAAGGAAAGTCGATGCAAATTATAATCTGATAAGAATCCAATGATATACACTCCTACGTAACATTCCTGTCATTTTGGAATCAGTGCTATTATTGATAAAAGGTAAATCTTTAAGACATACATCATTTGTATACATCTAATATTTTGTCGTCTGTAGTAATTTAATTAAATGCTTATATAGAGGTATATAGGCCAGGCCTTCATAGAATTGAAAATGATAAGGAAAAATGCAATTAAACAAAGGCAGTACAAATTGCTGATAAACTAGCTACTGTAAGAAGTTACAGTAGAACCGCTGTTTTAAGGTCAACATATTCAATATATCGAAATGCTTGTGGTATATTATTTTCGTTACCTGTCTTTATACTACATACTTGGACTATTATTATAAAAGTTATTTATAAGTGTTATAATAGATAAAACTTTGGATTGATGTACAAATTAAATCCAGACATGTTTTATGTTCACATTATCTTTAAATCTTTAAAATTAAATAAATTCTGATTATTCGTTCTAAAACTTATGTCTGGTACCATATTAAAATTAGGTCACTTATTTGAGAATAGGTAATTCGAATAAAAGTTATAGGCAGGCACGTGATATTAAAACAGGTTTTTATTATAATAATATTCTAAAAAAACAACCTGCAATAATAACAATGTAGGTATTTAGGGAAATTCGCCAAACAACAATTTATGTGTGTTGGATGTAACTTTATCCTTTAATTATTTTAACATAATGTCCATGTAATTATTTTTAGTTTATTTAATACGTGTGAAAGATATTGTTCTCATGACAACTGAGCCGACCTTGTAAATAAAGGTATTTACATTTTTATATAACAATCTGACTTCTTTACCGTAGAAACGAATATAAATAACTATTGGGCACATCTGTCTAAGAATAGCGCGGTACTGTTGTAGTTAGGGATATGTGATTATTTTGATTTCATCTAAACGCAAACATTTTCTGAAGAAGAGTCGATCGATATCTGTACTGATATCTATGTTAAATCACAAGCTACAGATAAACATAGATAATTTGTACCTAACATAAAAATATGGTATTCTAAACCGTTTTATCTGGCGCTTGGAAAGATTAGTTTAGATTTATTTCAATCCGCCACAAGTTATTTAATGAACCTCCAAAGCTTGTTAAAGCCTTAATTTTTCTATTTAAATACCAAGTACATATATATATATTTGTGTGTGTAATTTTTTGAATAGTAATTTAAGACAGGAATAAAAGGATGAAATTATTCATAGTAATTAATAGTTTGCAATAGATTATGTAAAAATTTAGTGAGAGGATGGGAAAGTAGTTGATTACTTTATCTCTTTATCAGCAGTAAGTAGATAAACGGATGCGAAAACATTAATAGTTACCTATTACTTATAGATTACTGATTACAACAGTTGACTGAGTATATAGTGAGATGTATTTAATCTGAAGGTAGTTTTAATAAGTTCAGGACTGTAGAGAATGTATACAAAACACTTTTTACTCTCTAAACAAAAACTTTTACAATGCCCTGTTACGTCCTTGAGAATTTAATGTTCTGTTTATCAACTCAACGTAACCAAAGCCGACAAAAACCCAACAGAATGACGTTAACGCTACAAAAACATTTAGAAGCAGTCCAAATGGATAGCTTTGGGCCCAAAGCACACCTTTTAATCTTAATTAAAAGGTAACATACCTGCACACGTAAAAACCACCGCAAAAAGTTTATCAAACAGCTGATTCACAGAAACAGTTCACAAGCGTGCGTTTGCTTACAAAACACGATCGTATCTGAGACCGTAAGTTATGAGGCGGGACTCGCAGCGTCGCGCCTCAAACTCGGGAACCCCATTTTTTAAAATTAATTCATAATACGTCCGTTGCACAGAAATTCCTCTTAACAAATGTTAATTATCTCGTGATAATGATAAGTGTTTGCTCGAGATACGTTTGTCTCAATGTTGTATAATTATAATCCGGGGTTTCAAGTGGAATTTTACTATCTTTTGCACGTCAATGTAATTTGCCCTGTAATCTCTGTTACATTTTTCTTACTTAGGTATATTTATATGTTATGAGTACCAGTAACAGCCCTCAACTTACCGAGGTACCGATTCGGCAGACACTAGTCAGTTTACATACTACAAACTTATTAAGTGTATATACATTTATATTGTATTATAGTGAGGCGTTTACGCCATTTATCTATAGAATTAATTACTTGTATAGAACTATAACATCTAATTAAAATGTGTTAAATAATTATATAAGATATCCTATCGGAAAACCATAGACTGCAAAACACGGTTTTACACTTTACGGCATTTTCATTTGTGAATTGAGCGGAATTTCGTTTTTTCTACCACCCATTCAATATCCAAATTGTCTGGGTGGGGTCTAATGTATACAAAATATATATGTTGATTTTATTTTAGACCCGATCAAAATCGAACCCCCGACGCGTTGGCTCTTAGCTATACTTTGCAACCAAGACACTATATGTAGAATTTGTATTTAAAACACCACTATGTTCCTCATATAGACTTTAGGATTTATATGTTACATAAGAATTGCTTCGCGGTGAATTGATAAAGATCAAAGTTCAATAGTTAAAACTAAAACACATTTTCTACTATTTTTTTAAGAGGTCGTAGGATCGAATCCAAGGGTCTGTAATATCTCTGTATGTCTGTAAGAAATGGTCTCAATCGGGTGCTCAAATTAAATATCACGTTCATTTTGACGACACGGGCAGGGCTTGAACCGGCATCCACAGTGTTTCGTGCTGTTGACTGTAAATACAAACGAGACGAAATCGAAATCAGTTTATGTCTCGCTCCAAGTATACTATACGCTTGTTTATACTTTTATGATTCTCAATTTTATTACGGTTGAGAATTTGAGATATTATATTGTGTATGTAGGAAGGAAAAGCTTTCTCTGGTATCAGCAATTTCTTCACTAGCTTCCGTTCAAAAAGGCAGGTATAGAAGACAAGTACAAAGACACATTCAATAAATAAATCAAGTTTATATTATCGCAATAATGTCTAAGGTAACAGGAGTAAGATTTAATAATTTTATAACAAAGTTTGTAAGTAGATAGATAAAATATTAGGCAATAACTTACAGTAGATACCTACTTTATTTTAATTTGACTAGAAATACATTTTATATTTGTTTTAAGGAAGTTGTTTCACCGCTGGACGATGGACGAGAAACAAGTAGAAGTAAAAAGTAAAAACCGGTTGGCGAGTAGCGAAAAGCGAGTTTGGTTTCTATAAATTTCTAGCCGAGACTCGCGCTATTAACTATCTTAAGCGAGAAAATCGCAGATAGTAATTTCCTCGCTAGCCCTGAAACAACTGCCTTAAACACCTACAACTAGTAAGTAATTGTGCTGAATTAATTGCTTTAATATGTCTAATAATCTATAATAATTAATATGATGTCAGCAATAAGTCGGAACAATTAATATAATGTATATAATGGTATAGACGCGTAAAAAATTTGAATAGTTAACAGTTTATTTCAGTCTATTGTAAATTTTAATCCGGTTATTTGTTTGCCCAGGATTGCATATAACTTCATATTTTTATAGTAAAAGTTAGGTTGGAGTAATAGTATTAAAAATGCTTCATCGATTTTCTAAGCCCCTTTGGGTTATACAATTATTTAAGTCTATACGAATGTATATAATTGTCGTAATCGTTGCAAAATTCTTCATAGAGTTGAATACATTACAATTTTTACTTAAGACAGACTTATAACCAATTAGATTGTTATATTCGAAAATTGTAAGTACGCTTTTATATAATATTGCTTTCTCTTTCAGCCTCTCTGCGCTGCTGGTAAGACCTAATCGGTTGGATGAAGGCAGTAAGAACGCCTGCAACTATAATCCAGCCCCCGGCCAAGTAGAACGACAGTTGCCACGACAAAGTGAGGTCAAAGATTAAACCTGGAATATTATACACAAACACTGTTATAGTAAAAATTAAATTAAATTCTTTGTTCCGACTTCATAGACTATATTCCTCTATGCCTTTTCTCTTTCACTTTATCCTATATCCACGAACGGTTTAGCCTAAGTGCCGGGGCACAATGACGCAGGAGCTTTTTTCGCAGGTCGAATCGAAGGGTCGAGCCCTGTAGTGTTTCACAAAGCTATAAATTTTTTCAATGTTTCAATGTCTAATGCACGCTTACGTCGGGCAATAGTGACGTGGAGAGTGTGGTAAACCCCCCCACCCGCTGTTCCCCCCAACCCCCAAAAACCCCACCCGCCCGCCACAGGGCTTTCCAGGGGGCCCTGGGACCACGTTTGTACGATTCCAAGCTTCCAGCACCATACTTGGTTATGACCTAGCTAGAAGGGTACCTAAGTTACCTGAAAGAGGAGGTCCAATCAAATGGCCAATTCCTTCTGCCAGTAACACCAGCCCATAAGCGGAGGTAAAATCGTCCAAGGAAACAATCTTCACCAATAAACTCGGCACAAAGGTGAAAGCTGCTGCAAACATCAACCCGAACAGGCCGCAGAAGAACGCCAGTAGCCAATAGTTTGAAATGAATATTTGTATGGCTAACACAGAAGCTCCACAGAAGAGAAGGCAGAGTGCGTAGAGATTGCCAATCGATACACCAGGAAGATCGCCGATCCAGCCCAGGCCTACCTATATTTAAAAAAAATATATATTATTTCTGACCAAAAATGGTAATTTTGATGGTTTAAAATGCGATACATAACTATCGAAAGCTTTGCAGCAGTCTCAGTCGGTATTACTATACATATAATATGATTCGATCGTTAATGGTACCAATGAGGACCGTGGGCTCAATTCCAATGTTTCCAATAAATTCATATTTTTATCTGAATAGCCAAACCAAATTAGGTCTATCTGTCCTCCTCTATCATAAAAAAAAACTTGCCCCGCCATATTCGTAGAATATTACGACATGTAACATGCCAACCAAAAGTGGGTATTTCTTCAGAAAATAGAGAAGCAATCGAATATTAAAATATAACGATCTCGAGGTATCTCACAAAGCTTTTATCACTAATGACTGGAATAATACTGGCCTAAATAGCACAAAAATAAGTCACTAAGAGACACGTTATGTCACAAGTGGATCCAAATCTTGATAAATTCTAATTTCGAATATATACCGAACCTTCGGATATATTTAGATAATGTTAAAAGCAAGTTTGGCACAGTTATACGTAAATATCAGGTGACATGTTTTCAACATTTTCTATTCTTGTTCGATATATTTGCCGTCATACTTGGTGCTGTGTGCCTCCTAAATTTGAATTCTATTTACTTTCCGATGGATTAAATACCACAATATTCTCTACAATTTCAAATTTAGAAGCATCATTTTTTCAATAAAACACTTTTAACTTAAAAATCGAAAATAAATTGAAAACATTTTCGACTCGGGCAGGACTTGAACCGGCATCGTCAGCGTTCCGTGCTGTTGCTCACTTTTAACTGTTTACAACGCGAAATTTACATTATTTGAGCTATATTATATAAACTACAGCTCCACGTCGGATGATTTGCAATTAACTTATTTTTAATCCAAAATAAAAATAAGTTTACATATTTAAATAAAACACTTAAAGGTTTCAAATGATACATTTGTTAAACTTATTTGAAAATATTTTTTTACTTCGGCCCGACGTTTCGGCTGTCTCCCCGAAGTTAAAAATCATTTTCAAATAAGTTTTACTAACTAACGGCTTTAAGCCGTTGTGTATTATTTAAATTGATACTGTATATTATGAGACAGTATTTAAGTTTACATACTTCACGTTTTAAATACTTAGTTATTTATCATCCACCTTATTTAATAACTTTATAAGTTAGTCCATTAGATTGTAACTAAGACATAATCTGCCAAGAGTCGATTTGAAAGATCTAAATAATGTTATATTTGTAGTTTATGCAAAGAACACATTAAAAATTATCTGTTACTTAAATTTAACACGAAGTCATGTGCATGCTTTATTTACCGCAGCTGTTGTCACGGAAGGGAATAATAAATCTCATAGTTTTCATATGTACGTATATACGTTCAAAGTGTTTGTTGTCAATAGGATAATTAATACTTGCGCGAGTGGTGCATGTATCAATAGGTTGAAAAAATTGATGATGACGTGTAGGACACGGTAGCTCAATTATTGGTTAAAGCAATTGCACGGAACGCTATGTATGCCGGTTCAGCTCTTGTATTTTTTTCAATTTATATAGGTAAAAGATTACCATTCCAATAGTATTGGTGATCCCTATCAAACTCAGGAGTACAGCTCCATCATCTTCACCATAGCCATTATGCGTCATGTGCTCTGTTAGGTAGAAGTAGGGTACGATGAACCAGACGAATATTATGATTGTACCGAGACACAATAGATTGAATGTAACTATTTTGAAGAGATCCACGTTAAACATATCCGCTAGTACAGATACACAGTCGTCGTACCATTTCTGTAATAAAAAAATAGTATAAGCGATTGTTTTATTAAGATTCACAGCCGAACTGGCTTATATCGGGGGGGGGGGGGGGTGTGTGTGTATAATTAGTGGATGGGGGGAGGTTGACTGAAAAGCCTCTGTTTCTTAGTTAAAGAATTTGTAGGTTTATTGGAAAAAATATGTTTTCGCTTTAGATTTGTAGTCAAGTTTGTGTTATATATTTAAGATTTGATATTGATATTTAGAATAAAAATATAAGCAAAATGTATTCGTATACCCACAAAGTGTAGTATGCGACATTATTTTTTTCTTTTTTTATAAAAAATTTATAATTATAAATATAATTAATTATTTTGGTTTATTAAGTTTTAGACTATTTATTAGGATTAGTTAAGAAGCATGAGTTTTGTATGATCCTTATTAAAAATATTCTATAAAACACAATTTACCTTAACATAATATAAAATGAACAAACTTCATACTCTTGTTAAAATACTCTTCACTTACAATACACAACATGGAAAGATAAAATACTTATTTATAATATAACAAATATATCTATATATTTAGATATAATTATAATTACTATATTTTTTTACGAAATAAATAATATTTGGTAATTAATAGAATTAATTTAGCAAAATATTTCACACAAATCGATAGTTCACATATTACGAAATATTACAAAGTGAACGAACGAAGCTTAAAAATGGGGAAAATCAAATAATTGATGGCAATACAATCGTGATTGGACTCTTAATAAATAGAGACAGCGATATCTAACTCACCTCTTCCTCCTCGTTGACTGTGACCATCGAGTTTTTAAAAATATCAGGACAAGAGGACGCCTTCAATTTATATCTCTTAATGTTCAACAATGCATTTCTATGACTTATCGAGTTTAATGGCATTTTTAGATCCCGTAGATAATGGTGATTTATAGACAATTGTTTCCTGAACCAGTCTCTTTTGTTCTCTTTACTGTCTTGTTTCAATAGCGGTCTTAAATCTTTGACTTCTGACATTGATCGCCTTACTTGAGGCGGCTTTTTATTAGTATTGTCTTTGTTTTCACAATTACGTTGGTTAATTAGCGGTTCGGTAATCTTCGGTACATTCTTCCTTGTGATTAGATCCCGTTCGTGGATATTATTCGCAAATGACACATACTTTATGGTGTCATCGCATTCTTTACTTGTATTTGTAAATGCATTGGGGACCTGCAATAAGAAATATTACAATATTATTACGTCTATTTTTTAATTAAAGCTTTGATTTAGAAGAATTTTTATACTGCTTTTCTAATCGCACACTTCTGTGCCCAGGCCGACCGAAACAATTTATTATGTGTCCTGAAGCTCGTGCTCACTAAATTATAACGAAAGAAGTACTTTTTACATATAGAGTTTTTTAATTATATTAAGTTCACCTTACCTCGTTAATGCATATAACATTTGATCTTAGATCTACAAGCGAACGTGTTTTCTTTTCGTTATTCATCTTTTTCATCAATAGCATAATCTCACGTCGCCGTATAGTTGCTACTTCATCCTTAATAACTTTTTCTGCTGAAACTCCTTTAGCGATCAGACGTTTCATGTTCTTACCACGTGAAAACTCTTCGTCATAAGTAAATGAATTGGCGATCGAGGCGGAACTAGAGTTTTTCGATTTAACATCGTCTCTAATCGATTTCAAATCTTCCTTTTCAGCCTTTTCCTTTTTCTGTTCCAAGATCCACCATTCGGGATCTCTCATGACGCAACCACATACGCACAAATTAAGAAGTGTGCCAGCTAATAATAGTATAGTGCCTCTCCAACCGAATTCTTCTATGAAATACTGTGTCATCGGTGCGTAAATGAAGGTTCCAACACCTGTACCACAAGCACCCAAACCAACAGCGAGGTTTCTTTTCTTTTCGAACCAATAAGCAATAGATACTACTGCTGTAACATATACTAATCCGAGACCCAATCCAGCGATAACTCCAAACGTCAACATCATAAATTCTATTGAGTTAGAAACTGACGCTAAAACGAAACCAAGAGTGGAAATAAGTCCCCCCAATATTGTCATACTTCGGCAGCCATATCTATCCACCAATGCACTCATCACTGGACCAGATAATAAAGGTACGGCTATGAATAAACTTCCTATCCAAGCGGTGGTGGCTTTACTAGTTTTAAATTCGTCTAAGAATTCTATATAAAGCAAGCCAAACGAGAAACTAATCCCGTCTGCTATCATTGAGATCACAAATGATGACAGTACAACGACCCACCCCCATCCACCATCTGGTATTTTAGGTTTAGGAGGAGTAATAGTTATTAGGACTTGTTCCTCCTTGAGGTTTTCTTCGTAGCTAACACTTTTCGTGTTACACGATTTTCCATTTTCCATATCATTGAATAAAACTTTAGTTTCGCCATTACTTGATTTCACCGTCTCACTTTTATCAGGAAGCAAATCAGTGTTACTTTCAACATCTGGGCTAGAAAATTCTGTACCCATACTAGTCGAGTCTTCTTCACCTTTAACTATTCCAGACGTTGACTCAGTTAATAACGAATCCCTGACAGCATCATGGGCTTTAGCTTTTTCACGAGGCGTGCGATTTCTTAATACTACAGATTTTTTGTCTAAATCCATGTTTACTAATTAGAATAATACTGGCAGTGGAGAATTGTTTGTTTTCTTATTTAACGTCTTAATCGTGGGTCTCTCGCTGAATATCTGCTGGATTGTCTCGCCACGCTGTTAAGTTTGAGCGTATTCGGCTTGTTTTCAACAAGTACCATTAAGATCTTTATCCAAGGACTGAAGTCTGCGGTTTTAAAGTGACCCATGCAAGGCTATCACTCTTATGTTGAGTATAATATTCTCGAAACTTGGAAAGGATTCTGAGACCCGACGTACTGCGCCTGAAATTTTGAAATACAATCGTTTAAAATAGTTTCTCCCTAACTTTACACACACACACACAGTATTTTTCTCTTTTTGTGTTATAGGTATATTTTTTTTTATAATTACATATAACCTATTTGAGTATTAAAGGTGAGTCCAAAAAAAGTGGAAAGTAGGAAAAAAGAAGAAAAGTTAAAATATAAAAAAGAAAGTAATTATTTTATATCAGTGCCATCTTTTTCGCTCAAATCATAGGTAAAACCTTTATGATAGTGTAAATGTCCCTAAAACAATGGTTTTAGATTTATACTATCATATCTTGTTTTTTAGGAATCTAACGAACTTTTGCTTGAAGGGCAAGTCTTAGCCTTGACCGATATATGTATTTACCAAAGCGTCGGTTGCCCTTAAGGCAAACAAATAATAACAAACATAAGAAACTTTCCTACTTGTTTACTATAATATCCTTTTCTAGACAATAGTTACAAATAGCCAACAATAGCACGCGTCTACTATGTAGGTATATATATCTTATTAGACAAAAAAGTTTAGTCACAAACAACAATTAGGTATATATACAAACAATAATCATTGTACTGTTCTTGTGCTCGTATATAAGTTAATAAGTTAAATTATAAAATATAACATTATCTTTTAATGAAGCTTAGTACGTTTGACGGTCTCGCTGGGATAATAGTAGCAATGTACGGCTATTAATTGACGGGTCGTAAATTCGATGCGTCCAACATTTTTCTAATCAATTTGTAATTTATCTGAAACATCTTGAATTTAGAAACCTAGATATTATATGGGTGGTGGAAATATCAAAATTGCGGTCGGATCACGAACCTCCGTCCACGGATGTGACAGTAGGTGACTTACGTCTACGTTAGTGCAAAATGATTATTTTAAATAAAACACTTAAACGGTTTAAAACGCGTAATATTAGTTAGAAATCATTTTCAAATAATTTTAACTAATATATCGCGTTGTAAACCGTTGAAGTATTTTATTTAAATGTGTACTACTCGCGAAAACTATAGACAGTATTTAATAATTGTTTTATTAAAGGAAATAATACCAGGCAGTGCTTTTGGTAAGTTGTTGAACAAGAGAATACGAAAAGTCAGAATAAAATATATATTTTTTTGAACATGTTTTCTTTTATTTGAACCCTTAAAGGTATCTCAATATAAGTGACCGTAAGTACATCTTATATCAACAATATTACATAACCAATATTTCTTCTATACTTAAACTTATCGTATTCATTTTATTTTTATAATTATATGTAGGTAAATCTGTTAGACAAAAAAAAATTATGAACAAAATAAACTTAGAGTAAGATTACATTAAAACAAAATTGCAAGGTAGATTATGGTACTTAAGGAAATGTTTTAAAAGAATACAAATCTACTTTCCTGTTAGTTCATTCAATATTCACTTATAATATTATCTTTCGTAATAATGATTAGTCATCTTTCATGTAACTAATATGCGAAGTTACAAAAAGAAATATTTACTATGATACCATGATATATTCATTTATCATTACTTACTAAAATATATCCAGTTTTGTCAATCCTGATTACAGGACTATCCACCACAGAATCACGTTAACGTATAACACGGGCGCCTAGAAAGAATCGATATAACGTAATACAGACCACCATAAAGAGCCTTCCCTCTCCTCGAATCCTATGGCTTGTTAAGGGAAACAGGTGGAATAGTACTGCGCAGAGCGGCTCTTGGTAATGTGGACGTAGAAAGCTATGACGTATTCGCGATTCTATGGGATAACATCGCAGATATGGTAAAAGGTATGTTGTGTGTTTATTAAAATTATAATATAAATATACACGTCATACAGGTAAAGCACAAAAAAGTACATTTATTTGGAGCACGAGACAGACACAATTTTTGTGTCCGTTTGACACATAAATGTGTCTGCACTACAAGCTTAAGAACTGATGACATTGTTCGTATCTTAATAGATAATAGTTTATCTTGTCACCTGTCCTAAAATTTAACCGAAGACGTTTAGCAATGTTGTTTTGATGTTTAAATTAGTCCTTCCTTTTAATTGGTAGTTCTGTACCCGTATATTATTATATTTGTTCTTTGACCGTTACAAAAATACAATATTTGCTCGTTATGTTAAGGTAGTCCCAGGAGACTAGTTCATGGAAAATATCGTGACATAAAGCAGTTCTAATAATGGAATACCCAAATATTGAACGATTAATAAATCTGCCTCTTATTATATTAAGTGTACGTATTACAAGAGTGTTTTTCTGATTAAGTCTGTATTTACGCACGTAATACACATTTAAATAAAACTCGTTCGAAGTGTTATGTATTAGTTAAACTTATTGACAAATTATTTTAATATGGCCATTATTATTTTAATCATGAGGAGACTACGTATTACGTCACTTATAGAGTTAGAGTTATAATCCGTTTGTTCCGTAAAGTGTTTTATTTTAATCTCATCGTAGGTCAAGTTTATTTAATATTTATAACTTGTTTGTTATCTTTATCCTTATTTTAATTTTTGTAAACTTTGCAATGTACCGAAACCGTCATATCAACTTGATTTTTAAAAATACGTGAATATGTATTTTACTTGGCTAATTAATACCTATAAGGGAGGACCCTAGCAAAACGTTCCGATTAAGTATGTTAGATGAATCCTCTATCGTATTAGTCTATTCTTGAGTGGTGTTCATTCATATTTGGCGCCATCATTAAGACGTACGTATTTTTTTAAATAATATTTTATGACCTGGTAACGGGATCTTTAAGCCAATCACGTACTTAAGACAACTGTCATAGACACAAATTAAGCATAGATATGGTATTGGTAATGATGTACACAGATCTTTACATATAAATATAATTTCGCCAATTGGTTCTGTTAATATAAAAAATATTAATTAGTATACTTGTATTCGTAATTTGTGAAAAATAAAGGTATATTCATAAGAACATTCTTCAAATTGACTTATCTGTGGTTAATCAGTTACGTCAATGCCAAGATACAAACGTCGATTTTCATCGTAAATTGTCATCTGGCAACTCAAACACGTTCTTTTTCTTGTAAAGTTTTTGAGAGACACGTGCGTCAAGAACGCTAAAATCTCTAAAATAATACAAAATGAGTGAAGGTACAGCAACGATTCGTACTCGTAAATTCATGACCAACAGGTAAATACTCTAAGAAAAGAATTCAAACAATATACTTTCCACATTCCAGCATTTGCCGTGAATACAGGTTATGTGACAACGCTTCTGCTTTCAGATTGTTGGCTCGCAAGCAAATGGTATGCGATGTTCTCCATCCAGGCAAACCAACCGTCAGTAAGACGGAAATTCGTGAAAAGCTGGCGAAGATGTACAAAGTGACACCCGATGTTGTTTTCGTGTTCGGCTTCAAAACTAACTTTGGAGGCGGCAAGTCTACTGGTTTTGCCCTCATCTACGACACATTAGATTTCGCAAAGAAATTCGAGCCTAAACACAGGCTGGCTCGCCACGGTCTATACGAAAAGAAGAGACCCACACGTAAACAGCGTAAGGAACGTAAGAACAGAATGAAGAAGGTACGTGGTACTAAGAAATCTAAAGTAGGTGCTGCCGCCAAGAAGTGATGTGACGATAGGAATTTAAGTAAATAAAATCCAAAAAAACTGTATTTGTGTTCATATTTAATCATCCTTAGTCACTTTGCCTTGAGTTTGACTCAGTAATTTTTAAACCTGGTTAAGTATAAGTAGTTAATTTATAACTATTTAATCATTTTATTACTGTAGAAATTGTTATGGTAAAGCAGGGCAGGGCAAAGAAGTTTGATCAACTAATTGCCTGTTTATATAAACTGATCATTGCAGCGGACACAGAAATGTGTTCACCGCATGCCTCACAAGGGGAGATGATATTTCATATTTTCTCACTATGTGTGTCTTAAATGGTAGAACCAAATTAAGGGTATTAAAACTATTTCTTAAATTGAACAGATTTTATTACATGACAATATATATACAAAAAAATTTTGATCAATAAAGAATAGTTTTACAAATCTCATTATATACTTATTAGACTATTTGTTTATTGTATTTATTCATTATGAGAGATCTTTTTCACATTAATATTTCATTATACATTGTTTTTACTAATTTCAACATGATGTTAGTACATGTTAAATACCAAATTCGTCACCATATAGTTCATACACTGATGGGCAATATTTCTTAGCTAATTCAGCATAAAGAGAATCCTTAGGAACTGGCAAATGATGAGTCAACCTGTTCCATATGTGATGCATATATGCATCGGGTGTGTCTTCAATTTTACCTGGACGGAAGTACCGCTTTCTGTACTTGTAATGAATAGGGTACAAGTATTTTGTATCTAGCACGCTAAAACCTGTGAACAGTATTTAAAGATTTATAATATGAAGGTTCAAATTCAGAAAATACTTTAAAATAACTGTAAGGTAAATATGCTGACAGTATATACCTATATAAGAGATTACATATAATTTTATCATTGTAATTGCTATTTGTATAATATAGACAGGCAAGGATGGTGGCTCGCTATTTACACAAATTACATTAGGACTTACAAAATATTAAGATGGTATATAAAAGTTGCCTCAATCTCATAATATAAGAATACTAACTTTAAATATAAGATTTATATATACTCTTTTACAGAATTTATTCATGTTATAATTTGAATCAAATTTATTACACTTCCTTTAATTTTTTCTTACATAATTTTTATTTTAGACACATTTATTTACCCTGGCATTTCGCAAGTGTCATTAAGCTAATATATTTAGTACGGCAATATCTGGATAAAACTCTTGTTACAACTCCTGGACCATTGTGGACCCAAATATTACTATTGTAATTATTCACGATTTCTCTGAAATAAAAATAAAGGTTTAAGTATAAATAAGATAACTTAAAAAAAAAACTTTAAAACGCGAAGTGTTTAGTAATTTAATAAATTTATTTACAAATTATTTTAACCTAGGCCCGACGTTTCGCCTTTTAAACCGTTAAAGGTGTTTTATATAATTGAGTAATATTCGCGTAAACTACAGACAGTGCTTAGGATAAAAGCTAGCTCAAATTTAAAGTCACACATTTAGCAGTGATGTCATTAGATATTCATCCACTGTCGCTGGTTCGAGCCCGGCCTACTTAACTTTTTATTATGTATTTTATTTCGATTATCTAAAAATTATAACTATCAAATACTCACGAAAGAAACATTTTTGCTAACTGACGGCCCTGGGTATAATCATCTAAAGCGATCGCCGCTGAATTTAACTGTTCAAAATCTTCCTTTCCTACCCAATTGCCCCCCAAAGAATCGAAAGACTTCACCACCACGACATCAGTGTCCAAATATATTCCATTCCACTTGTACAGGGTTAAAAATCTCAAGGCATTCGATGTGTTTTCGATGCCCCAGCTGCTGTTCACCAGGGTCCCTTTCTCTATGAAGGGTTCTAGAGGGGTACGGGCTGCGTATTCTTTTATACGCAGCCTGGCAAGAAAAACATTGCTCATATTATACAATACTGCTATTTTGCCAAATAATGTTGCTTCTGTAACTGGGCTGCTGAAGAAGACATATACCTGCCTGTCTCTATGAAGTCTTGCTGCGGACTCTATAGCACACATCTGCCGCGAGTTCAGCGTGCCTTTACAGCTTGTTTCGTGGAAGAAGATAGAATTGTCCCCCGGCTTAAAATTCGGCTCGAATGTCGGCAACGCATTGTCTTCATCATCGTAATGACAAGATATATTGACGAGTTTATTTTGAAATATTAACTCGTGAGGCGTCGGCTCTCGGTTCGTGCGCGCGAATGTGTAGAAACTTACAGCGAAAATGCAAAGCAGTACGCAAATCTCGACGTTCCTCAGCGTGTTTCTTCGGATCATTTTTATGTGAAAGAACATTTCAATTATTTTGTTAATCTTAACAGTCTTGTAATCGATGCCGCTACTCATTATACACTGGTCATAACCGCACGTCTATTGCTCCCGCGTTGCATTATAATATTCGCAATTCGTGTGAACAAATATAATTAAAACACTTTTCATGTATACACTCTATGGGTTTGATACGTATCGATAAAACATTGGTATTGTAATGACTTTTCATCTTCAATTTGGAGGTAAATACTAGTAAGGAGAGAGTTGGATAATACTGAGCCCCTAAGGAATAATATGTAGAGCATTTATTAAGGGACGCATAGCATATGACAAAAACGCCCAAATTTTCAAATAAAAAAAAGAAAAGGTGCGGTATTATCAAACTTATAATATCGTGCCTTGAGTTGAAAATATATAATATTATATCTACATCACGCTACTGGTAAAAATTTGACAGACTTTCATTTATTTATTTCTCTTTTTCTGCAGTGTTCTTGTCTTTCGCTATTTTCATATGTTGATGTCGTTCTTTTTTCTCGAACTGGTGTTAATGTGAGAAGCAGCGGTATTATCAAACTTTATAAATTGATTTACCTCAAAATTAAATGGAAAATATAACATCTAAACCTGTTGTGATATTAATTCTGCAACATACTAGCATTAAAATGTTTAGTGTCAACAAAATTACTTATTTCCCTTAAAGTGCATGAAAAATTATAAGGAGTGACGAAAAACATCTAAAGCGCTCGAAACGTGCTGGTGGTGCTTCGGGGAAGAGCTAGCAAAGGCATGCTCAACTTCGATGTCTACACATTTAAAGTAAGTATAAGTGTATATTGAAGTCGATTGGTCTTAATATAATGGATACTTCTTTAACCCTATGTCATCTGAAGCAAAGACTACACTCATAAAACGGCATCACTAGTTCTCTATGGTTTTCAATCGGCCGTATTTGTTATAGTCTTTTGCCAAGTTAGAAAAAAATACACTATAAATAAGTTTTGAAAGTACCTTGTAATCACTTACTCCAACCTGTATTCATAATATGTATAAAACAAAGCTATGGTATGGAATATTTTATATAAATGGAACATTTAAATAGAAGGTGAAACAATAAATGTCTTAGAAATGAACTCAAAAGGGGTAACATTTGAATTTGAATGGGCTCGCTAGTTCAGTGGTATCGGCGTATCTATCTATACTAATATATAAAGCTGAAGAATTTGTTTGTTTGAACACGCTAATCTCAGGAACTATGGGTTCGAATTGAACATTTTTCTTTGTTTTGATTAGAGCATTTATCGAAAAAGGCTTTAGGAAAATTATTTATCATTAAGGGTTTCCGTGGCGTACACTCAAAATTGTTTCAAGATACTCAAAAAATATGAAATAATGAATCCTCTTTAAATTATCTAAAAAAAGTCTGCGACGCTATATGTCTATCTTTTAAGATTAACTTGCAAGAACGACGGGACGTGACCATCGTCGTGGGTAACTGCTTAAGTTAATAAAGATGGAAGGGGTTTCCAAAAAGAACGTTAGATGCCCAAAATAATGATTCTCGCAAACGCAGTCGCTGACACAGCTAGTAGATAGATATGTGTTGTAGTAAATACCATTAAACTATTGAATTTTAATTATTTAATCAATATCAATCCACAGAAAAAAAGCCCTAAAGTGTAAATTCCCGTTTCTGTTTCAATCTGGAGTTCCTAATGTCCAAAGCCAATATAAGATCGACGGCCCATCTTAATTAAATATATGGCGAGCGGATTTTCATGAACCTCATACTTATATACACTGCAATAAAAAGTCCATTAAAAACTTGTCTTATACTTAATATAAAAATTCATTTATTAATATTGTTACTCAGAACTCAATAGCCACATGTCTCCAAAGGGCCATTCTCAGCGTCTTCTTTACATAATAATATCTATACAAATCTACAATCATTTGTTAAGAAAATGTCACAGATATGTAATGTGTATAATGCTTAAAGTACGCTAGTCGACGGACAAACCAACGTCGGAGGCATTATATATTTTTTATATCATGCGCAAAGCAAACATATTCTTCGATAACGATTATGTTTGTTTCATCTCTCTTCTTGTATATAGATCGATAATCCACAACCCACAAATCTTTCTCATATTCATTTTACATACAGTAGGGCCTCGCTATTTCAGACCCCGCTGGGGCGGTGATCCCTGTAATCCGTACGAATGGTGAGACAGCGTGTGGATGCTAGTTGCGAGCTTATTTTTTCGTTACGTCAATCATTTGCTTTTAAATGAGCTAACAAATTATGTTCGTCCAGCGACTTATGAGGGCGAGTTTCTTAAGATTTGACAGAGAATTGTATAGAAAAGTATATTGAAGACTTTGTCAAGTATAATGGACTTATGTTAATTTAATTTTGAACATTTTATTTTTTGTCGTATGATTTTAATTAAAGGAAGTAAAAAATAAGTTTTATTATCATACAATTAATTACCTCGTACAATCCGGAATCCGTAATATTATATGAAAAGGACCCTTGGTTTTAGTCTGTTCGGATGGACGAGGTCCTATTTTTAAGATAGCAAATTAATTATGCAATGCTTATTTTAAAGCAGTTGTATAAACTTTTTTTTTCAATTTCAATTAAGTTTGTATTAAACTGTGTCTATATGTTTAAACTTAAAATATTGCGCAAGTCACGATTTTCGTCATCACAATCATAATATTCAAATTAATTTGTTAAACACTGTTGTTCTTCTTTTTATATATCTTTGTCCTTTTATACTTGTTCTTTGAACGAGATAGTATTCAGGTAGATGGCAGGTAATATTCTTCGTGGGAACGGGGAATTGGATGAAATTATCAGCAGTTTGTATGGTGTGATATCCGACCTTCAATCGGTGTCTCCAAGACGTAAATGAATCTTCAGACATTAGATTTTTGCAAACAGTTTTACTAGACTTGAAATCGTATTGGTTCCTTAAACACAAATGCATCTATTGACACTTATTTATTTTTTTTATACTTAACATAAATTAATTAATTACTATGTATTTACACATCTTTTTGTAAACTTTAACATTCAGGTGTTTAAATATAACATGTAAATATGTCCTTGTTTCCTTAAAATTTATAAGTAAACGATGAATATACAATTGGACAGTGTTTTTTCGCCAATTTGCCGTAACGTGACCCATTTCGCTTCATAAATCTAGCACCGATAGATAGCTTGCTCCAAAGGTAGTAAGTGTAGGCCGTTTCGTAACCTGGTAATTCGCCGGGTTCAAAGACTTCCCCCGCTTTCTCTGATGGTATGGGATAGAAGAATTGCGGGCCATAAATTTCGAATCCTAAAAAATAATATTAATAATTACTAGATGGAATTGGAATTGTACGGATCTTGACTCTAAATATTTTACCATTACACGACGCGGCTGCTTTTGTGAGAGGATCAGGCGTTGAGCATTGTTGGTCTACAATTTTTTCCATGACATTCTCGCCGTTTTCGCAGTCGAGATTCTTGTGATTCTTTACGAGTAGTCTGTAACATTCAAATTTGTAGTGCGGAACTTTCTTTCAAAGGAAATCGACAATTAACAGAAACAATAAGTATGGAGATGAAGTATGATAAAAAATACACATAAAACGTCATGAAAAGTAAAGCGACAAAAATATAATTCTACATCATAACTATTACAAAAGACATAAAATTTACGGTATGCAATAGCGTGAATAACTTTGCTAATTAATTCCAAGTAGGAAAAAATTTTGCTGTTTACCTCAGCGCAGATTCGGATATCGATCTCCCATTTTTGGATAGAGCCAGTATTCCTGAACCAATAGAAAACTCATTCTGTTTCGGCACCCAATTTCTGGGCAAGGAGCTCAAGGACTTGGTCACAATAATATCTTTCTCCATGAATATGCCTCCGAATTTATAAAGTGTCAGATATTTGACGAGGCCCTCCGTCAACATTATAGGGCAAGCGGTATCGTTTAATGCTCCGCTAGACACGAAGCCTTCAGCCGGGGTCCCCATTGAATATTCCTCAATGTTCACTCTTGCGAACTTAACGTTTGGAATCTTCATGAGAACTTTTAAGGCGTCATTATCATTCATTTCTTCTTTAGAAATCGGGTTGTTGAAAAGGACGTACACTTCCCAATTCCAATGAGCCCTCGCAGCGGATTCAATGACACACGAATCTTTTGGGTCCCAAAGTCGCATGTTGCACGTCGGGTCGTTAAAGAATATCGATCGACCGGCCGGATTCATATCAGCGATCGATGTTAAATTATTATCTGTATCGAAGTAGCACGATATATCGTCTCGCCAGTCCCACCTTGTTAGCGAAAAATTGGGACCATATGTAAATTTGAGGTACATTATGTAGCTTAAAACAAAAAGGGATATAGATATGTAATTGCATTTTCGCTTGTGACGTACGTAGACTTGCCTATCGACGACTATAGTTCTGAGAACTATCTTCGACATGTTGTCCACGAAAACAAAGGAATCGCTCAAAAACGGCGCGCTGTTTGTATCAACAGGTAGGTATGTCAACAAACTAGCACTTCTTCGCACTCTTGTTCAGATACAAGTAATTAATTTGATAATAGATAAATGGAAATTTATCCAAAATGCAAAATGCACCCTGCAGGAGGGAAGGTTGCATCGAACTAAATAATATTGAATATACCTACAATTGCCTATGGTGCAATTTATAGGCGCAATAATTTAAAATATTGCATAGCTTTGTCCTTATCTTCTCTATATAATTAATTGTAACTATTTATAGATGACGGGAGGAAGTTGCGCGGTGTATTTACAAATCTAATAAAATGTTTAGGTACTCTTAAGGCTTTCCACGGACTAACGTACATTTTTCTACAGGGCCAGGACACCTTTTAATATTTATAATAATGCACATATTTAACATACAAACAATCATATTATTATGATACAAACTATCTATGCAATTTTAACTTGGCGTAGAGCCAAAATATGCCAATCGAATCCTCGCTTGGACCACAGCGCAAGGAAACAGATCGCATGCGCTGTAGGTATCCTCCAGCCTCTGATCAATCATCTGCGAATCTGGGGGTTGAGTTTATTTTTAAACAGGCTCTAACGATCTGGCTGCACGCGTTTTCAATTAATAATTGTCAGTGCCAGATATTTCGTATTTCGTAAGTTTTTTTGCTAAAAATACCTATTATAGCAAAAATGTAACCGATCGTCTTCTGCCCATATGTGATATATGATAAAAAATATTATAGAAGATCTTTATAAACTCAATAGTATCCAAAACAATGATTTTTGGAGTTCTTATTAATGGTTTGTTAAAGCGTTTGTGCTTGTTTATCTTAAAATCGGCTCTCCTGATATAAATGTTTTTGGTATTAAGTATATTGTGGTAAGCTCTACTTAACATCTAGTAGTTAAAAGCAAAGAATAAAATAAAAAAAATATATAAACAAAATTAAAATTTCATCTAAAGTATTGGAATAAATAGTGGATTTGAAGTGATTTTAATGAATATTTGTGTTAGTTTTAAAACATTTACTAAAGTTACTTGAATTTTAAGATTTACTCTCGATGTTACAAGAAAATAAAAAATTGTAAATTTTTAGAACTAGAATTGAATCTGTGTTGTTAACATACGTTTTGTTTCAACCGTATTTTGTATGACTTTACTAAAAAAAAAATTACTAAATATCTTAAAATATCGTTCTTTATTTCGTAATAAAATACGAGACACAATGAATATCATTCATACATTTATCTGTATGTATATATGTTTTTCATTTCCACCGCGGTTGCTTGGAAGAGATAGCTTAATTCCCTTGCTCGTCACTTTTGAAGCTTTTTCCCTTCATTATGGTGACACAATCGCTGATGAAATACCCAATATTTTGTTAACTATAAATAAATTCAATAATTTTATTTTGTGATTGATTTAGTTTAACGATATCTTCATGGTAATTACAAGGCGAACTCTAGTTTAATTATTCTTTATATATACACAGCTGACACTGGTTATTAAACAACCAAGTATATGTAAACAAATTATTCTTTTACTGTTTATTTTGTATGTTTAAATATTAATTCATATATTATAAGCTTATTATAGGACTTTAAGATTCAAAATGATCAACGGCGAAACTATACCTAAAGATTAAAAGAAAGATATAACATTGGATAACTTTTATTTCGCATAATAACTTGGGTTTACAATAAATATCTAAATAAACCATCAGACTATCGTTATAAAAATTATATCGTTATTAAACATGAATTTATGACAGCATTTTTTTTCTCCATTGCTTGGTAGCAACGTGGAACCAAATTAACTTTTCAGTTGTTAAGGCATTCATACGTTTATACCGAAATACTATACCATTGTATTATTATTTTTAAATTTATATTGCCTCGCATATGGCTATTACATATTAAATTATTTAAATGCACATGCTATTTTATATTTTGTACTACAATATAACAAAGTAATAAATACTGGGCTCGAAAGTATGTATTATACTCAAACGTATTTCTATACCTGTTTAGGTAACGCTTTATATCGCCAAATTAAATCTTTAAACCTGTTAAAATCAGCAATATCATCTTCATCGTCACCAGGATTTCATCTAGCCACGCGTATGACACTAGGAAACTAACGTAAATTAGGAACTTCCATAAAATTATATAAAATCAAAATGTGCGCAATTTTAAAACTTATTTAAAAGAATGGCTGATTTTATCAGCGGTTTTTCACATACATTTTCATCAAGACTATAAAATAAAATGGAAGTAGATAATACAAGCTAACATTTATCACTGGTTAGCTAAGTTAAAGAAAAACATACAACAATCGGTCAATTTTTATAGTACAGAGTACTACACCCATTTACTTTCAAAAGAGGCTTTCAGAATACAAATAGTAATCTGAACAAGGGAAAATGAAATAGATCACAATCGTATTTGTGTCTGTTAAAAGAGATTTTAATTTTTCTTAGCATTAGCTAGGCTTTTTTTAATGATAGAGAAGAACAAGCATGGGGAGCTTGATTGGTGAACCACTCTATATAACATCTATGCAGGTTGCGCTGTCAACCCATTTTGGCTTTGGATATTAAATAAATAAATTAATGTTGGAGATGAAAGAAACTTGACAATCATCGGCCGATAATAAATAATTGAAGTCGAAATGAGAGAAATCTCTCTACTAACTATTTAAACCCTCTCTTCTTATGCGCAGCAGTGGGGCGTTGGAAAACTGAAACTTATGTAATTATAACAAAGTGTATATAAGCTGCGTGAATTGGATTACAAAATCATACCATTTACATAATTTGTTGTCCAATAATCAATAATTTAAAACGTGTGGTTAATGCCTTTGGCGTGATTTGTGTGTGTATAATGTAGTGCTCAACGAATGTTACTCTGTCTCTTCTCGTCGTGCGGGTGAATGCGCACGCGCAGGCTCCTCGATTTTCTCTTTTTTCACGCAACTAGAACAACAACAAAAAAGTTTAATTTCGATGTAAGGTAAACTTACACCATGCATTAAAATAAACCACGTTTAACGGTTTGAAACGAAATGTGTTAAACTTATTTGATAAGTTTCATTAATACATTACGCGTTTTAAACCGTTAATAGTGGTTTAATAAAATGTGCATTATACTCGTAAAATACATTACTTTTCGATGTATTTTATAAGTAACTAGCGGCCCTGTCCCGGCTTCGCACGGCTAATTAAAACGACCATGAATCACTTTAGAAAAAGATTGTATTGCGCGTCCTAATTGTTAACAACCTGCGAACGTTCAGTGTTAGAGACCCGTGCGCGCGTTCGCGAATTCCTAGCTCTATTTCCTTCAAGTCGCTGCGACGATCTTGCATTTTGTTCTCCAAGACGAACCTGAACGTTCGACGATAGATTCTCTGGCTCACGATTGGGACGCGTACAATTTAACACTTAGAGAAATTAAGAATAAAATAATAATAATACAAAAGAAAATATTCAAGTTCAAAGCGATAGTTCTGAAAAGAATTTTGACAAATATTATGCAAAGTGTGATTCCTAATACTAAAACTAAGTAGCTCTGAAAAGAACTTTTTAAGTGAAGCATAAAAAAGTTTAAAAAAAAGCGAAATATTCAATGTCGTTCGCGCCCACTGCGTAAGGAGCCCACTCACTGCCCCTCTATCGTCGAATTAGATACTCAATGCGCGGCGTGGCGGCCACCGCCGTCATGCATTTTTATTTTAACTTCGTGATATCTTTTGAATGGAATGTCCGATTTCAATAATTAAAAAAGTAACCATCAGGTATTGAGACAGTCTTGAATATTAAATTATTTATTCGGATATAAATTTATAAATGGTATGGATAACACGGTCTGATTTTGATCGGCATTTCTATTAATTTATTAATTGTAAAAAAGTAGTTATGGCGACGTAACTACAAAAGTTAGACATATGCTCTCGCGATGTTTTTTGTAGATTGATATATTCTATAATATTGTCGAACATTTTTTTGTCCTATCAGTTCTTTCCGCAGCGTATGCGAAGAAAGACATTTTACGGCTAATTTTTTACGCCTTCCGTTGGTTTTAGTAAGAATGTCTATAGATGCCTATAGTAATCAAGTACTAAATATAGCCAATGTTACTCAGTGATAATGTAGCTTTCTTATGAAAAAAGAATTATTAAAATTGGTCCAGTACTTTTTTAATTTTTATCTGTTACATACAAAAAATACAAATCTTTCCCCTTTATAATATAGATTAGTGGCTATAAGATATTTAAAAAAATGTAAAATAATAAATATATATCACAATAGTAAAGGTAGTACATGTATTAAAGTTGTACCTGTATAGGTCTCTTGTGCTCTGCAATGTACCGTGAGTGAGGAGCAGTCTTCGGCCTGCAGGTGGTGGGGGTGGCGCCCACCATGACACCACTCGCCCTACGACCGGAACGCGCCGTAATAAACCCTCCTGCCACGCCTCGCGTTCTAGTTCCTCTTGCGCAGCCTCTATACCTAAAATTGAGATATATACTTATTAAACAACTGTATTATATGAAAAAAAACTACAGCTACAGGCTAAAATTATACATATAATCTTGAATTAAGTGAAGAGACTTGAATTAAGTCAAAAGAAGTTCCACAAAAAAATGTTAACAACTGGATGTATAAGAAAGGGTTTACCGTAGTTTTGCTTAAGAACTGAATTAAAAACAATAACGACACGAGAAATGATGAGCTCAAGACGTAGGTATTGTAAAAAAGGAGGATTATCTTTAAAAAATATACATAATTATAATATATCGCCAATGAAACTTGACTTTCTTTTATAGTTGGACTGGTGTAAGTGTTGAGTGCAAAATATAGACATGAAAGTATAATAAACTAACGCAACATGGAAAGGTCAACAGTGTATGTGGACTGATAACCCGGCCTTCAATAATTGTACCCAATAGAAATAATACAAAAGCGTGAAAAAAGGACAAGCACCCTTTCACATTAATAATAAATGTATGCGTCACCTTTTTTCAGTACTTCAGTCATGTCTGTGAGAACTTTAGAACTCTCTTCCACTTCTTTTCCAGCCGACAGTACTAGCTCCAGCAATTCATCTACGTCTGTATCCGCTGTTACCATGCCAAATCTGTAAAATTATGAATAATTTAGTTCTTTATTGCTTAGTTTCATCAAACCTATTATTGACTATATTTCCCCCTCATTTTTATGATTTTTCTATTTCGCTTGACACATTGCTAGGTAAAGCATCTTTAAGCCTCGGAAGGCGATGAAATAAATCATAAGAACGAATAATCTTACCTAACGCAAAACATTCCATCTTCACCCTCTCCGCAAGAGAACGCGCCATCTGTTGCTCTTAAAGTGTGAACTAGTTTTCTATTTAACGAGTTAATTTCCTCTGCTGGTGCATCTTCCCAGCCTGGAGGAATGTATCGAACGCCGCCTAAACCTGCAAATGAGATAAACATGTTAATGCCAAGAAGAAGTATAAAAATATACTTGCGCCTCAATTATGATTTATAATCGTAAAAATCTTTATCGAATACTAAGTAAGTACATTAAAATTTAAAAGTACAGTCAATGTACAAACAATAAAGTGCAAAAATATTTCGACGACGCAGTCGAACAACAAACATGAATCTAGCTTACAAAGATTGCCTTTTACTAGTTGGGTTATTACTGAGCTATGTACAATAAACAAAACTTAAGGCCTTGATTAATTGTTGCTTTATCGTAGTAGTAAGCAGTACACTATCCACTAAGTTACCCCCCTCAAAATAAGGTATCTACAAATTCTATACACTATGTGTATAATGCTGCAAAAAATAATCGATAAAAGGTCGTCTTTTTACCTAAATAGCTGTCATTGCCAAACAACATGTTATGTTATTGTATTGTTGTAAAAGTTAAATAAATTTAAAACAAATCCAATATTGACTACTGAAATATCTAAGCGAATCACTAATACTAATTGTTCATATATCTTAAATTTGGTAGAAATTGTAATTTTCTTATGCGGCAGTAGCCCATAGGTCTTGGACACTCACCCGCCCAACCTGGGACATGAATCAGTCTCAACGAAGAATGTTGCTCGACCCTTTCTTGGAAGGGCTCCCGCAAAGATACGGTTGCATGAAGAACGTGCAACTGAGCCTCGAGAACACCAGCCCATGTCTCCACTTTATCATCTTCGAGTAATGTACCCTCCAGGGGACAATATCTAAGCACCACGCCATAGCTTTCTGTTTCACATACTTCTATATGTATCTGGAAAATAGACATGACATAATGAAGACTCTAAGAGGTTTTTTTTTTTTAATATATAAGAAAAATAATTCAAAAATCTTTTATATAACTCATTGGCTAGTACAGTAAGTTAAACTGTTAGTACTTTACGCGAGTAGTACACATTTAAATAAAACTTTAACGGTTGAAAACGCAATATATTAGTTAAACTTATTTGGAAATTATTTTGACGTTTCGGATGCTTTGAAGCAACTTTAGACACGGGGCCACTGCAACGTCGTGATCAAAACGATTTTCCAAAGTTTCTTTGAAGTTATAATATATATCGCGTTTACAACCGTCCGCGTCGTGTTTTATTTAAATGGTACAGTAAGTTACTATATAAAGTAAAAAAAAAGATGTATTCTCGGACATTAGTTGCAATACAAACAAACAACTTACCATGTCAGATTCCCTTTGCAAAACTTGGCCCAGCCAAGAGTTAAGCTTATCATAGTAAGGAGGCGGTTTCTCAACGCCAGGCGGAGCGAATTGAAATGCAACACAGGCAGAAGCTTGGCTCATGGCTTCCTATAAAGACATTAAATAACCAATTAATTATCATTTATTTCATGATCTTATATTATCATATTGAAGAAGAAAATATACTTACCACTATGTCCACATTTGGTGGTTCGTCACCACCAGGTCGCTCACTCTGAAAATGTTATTTCATTACAGTAATAATATACATTTTGAGCATATTAATCGTTATTTAATGTAAAAATAATACTTTAATTATATAATTCAATGGGTTTACTATCAAGCAGGTGAATTCAATTATATATTTTTTTTATACAACAGTTACGAAAAAGTTGCTTGACATATGTTTAATGAAGGTTCTTGCAAATGACTGCTCCATCCTTACCAAGATTCTAAGATTAGCGCCCGCAACAAGCGCACGCGCAGCTCTAGCTGAACGAAACGCTGCTTCGAGGCGACGAGAAAGACGACGGCCACCGGATACTCGCGCGCAAGTCCAAAGTGGTAATGCGCTCTGCCTGGCTGCACCACTGCTTAGTCCAGCTAAGACGGCTAAGGTGCCTTCACGACTTCCAGCCTAATGAACAACAACACTATATAAACTTTAACAAAGATGGTCAAGTGCAAACTACTTTTATGGCATCTGTTGTTGTTGCAATTATCTATGGAAATGACAACTATCTATGTTTACATAAAGACAACTTTTTTTTTAATTCTTAGAAGACTTATAACATACTAGGTGTAGCTGCGACTTTGTCCGCGTAAAATAGTTATTTTTGGGCATCAGCGTCGTTCTTCTTATTTAATCTTAAAAGTTAGACATATAATGTCGCAGACTTTTTTAAGATCATTTAAAGGGGAATTATACTTCAATACATAGTTTTTGGGTATGTTAAACCGCTTCCAATCATACTCTAACCAACTCAAAAATCAGGTCCTGAGATAAGCGCGTTTAAACATACAAAAAAAATCTTCAGCTTTCTTTCATATTAGTATAGAGTATAGATAATAATTACTCACAGAATTAACTCCTTTTGAGTGATCATTTGCAGTTATTGGTTCTGGTACCCTATAAAACGTCTGATTGACTGCTCAGAAAATTTATTATTTCAACCCAGTCTTAACGTGGCATTTTAGTATTTAGACAAGTAATTTTAAATTTTGATTTAAAAAGGATACAACATTGGCAAGGCCTGGTACACCAAACCATGGTCCCGGTGTCAAAGTGAGGGAATCTGCTATATTGTAAGTCTGGAAAAAAAATAAAAAGCCTTTATGCCAGTACAAAAAAAATTATAATGTATGGACTTTTACAGTTTCTTATGCAAATTTTCTTACGAAATTTAGAGCCGGTCATGGTGGTTTGTAATAAATATTAAAAAGTCTAACCTGATCCCTATTTAAAGCAGCTGGCAGTGCTAAAGCATGTCCCCTGACATGTAAATGCATATTTCTCCTTTTGCATATATTTGCCAGTGGTCCCAGTGCAGAACCTGTGCCAAGTGGGGGCCCACCAACTCCACCTAGCACTAGCAGTGGAGTCCGATTACTATTGATATCCTCTTCACATAGTTTGTCTAGTGCTTCTAAGTCAATACCACGACCTGAAAGAATTGAATAATATATTATAATCATGTGGCATACTAAACGCTTTATTGATTGAAACTTGAATTTAACAGTTTCTTTACAAAAGATATAATTACCTCTACATTTTCATTATAATTATTTAAATGTACATGACATAAATTTTAACCTAGATAAGAAAAAATTGGGATCCAAACTCTCAACAAACAATATTCTGTTTAAATTATTATTTGATTTCGTATTAAAATCAACTGTAGGACAAATAAATTACAAAGATTTTCTGGTTACCAGTGGAGTCAACTGGAACAGGTCTAACACAGGCTAACGGCAAACCAAGCTGTCTGCATAGATGTTGTACAACTCCTAGTGGACTCGCCACACAGCTGTAAATACTTGGCAGTCGATTTGCAAATGCTAATGCTAAAAATAACAAAAATAAGAAATGAATTCCTCCTGTACTTCAGGTTGTCTGGAAGAGATCGCCACTTAGCGATAAGGCCGCCTTTAATCTATAAGTTAGTATGTAAGATTTTCCTCATTAATATGTATTTCCTGTGGTGTGTATTATAAATAATGAAGCCATAATAAATAATTTGTAAATAAATTTAACTAACATATTTCACGTTTGCAACCATTAAAGTATATAATATGTTATTTTGAATTATTTAATATTAAAGTTTAATACCTCCATCTTCTAAGTACCGCGGATATCTGTGATGTAATAACATTCTGGTAACTCTCACCAAACCCTCCATTTGCTCTAAGTGATAGTACGCATTGTAATCAGACAACCTGGAATATGATATTATTATGAAACCTGAATGCCAACTATGCATATGCCTTTCTGGGAACTTTTCTTATTCCTTTTCTCTTTTCCAAGTATTGCATGATTTTGATAGGGTTAAAATTTAGTAGTATATAGCTTTGAATGACAAATCAACAACTTTCGAAGTTTCAATTTCAACTGTAAAGTACATATATAATATTTTTTACAACAGAGAGAAACTATTTAAAATAATAATTGTAAAAGTGTTAGAGTTAACAAAGTATGTTAACCCTAAACATGTCTGATAGTACCATAAAAATGAGATGCGCACAACGTTGTTTACTAATAAACCTTGTAAATGGGTCTGTCTCTAAAACTGTAAGAAGTCTTGTAAATCTCAGAAATGACAAAACATTACACTGGCCCCTCATTTATAGTGAAAACAACTATTCATGTATTTTTTAATAAGGTAAGCTGTTTCACTATATATATGTTTAATTATATGTTTTACTATGGAAAATTCTGAAAAGACTATTAGAAATTTTGCTTAAACACATTAATTTTTTTATTACTGTATAAGTACATTCACAGGAAGGGTTAATTAACTACTAACCTAAGCCAGCCTTTTGGTAAATTAAAATCGAGATATAAATGCTATATTGTTGATAAGCCTAGTTTTACTTGTCAACACTTAATGGACTTTCAGATAAGGCATTTATTAATTTTTTATCAGAGGTTTAGCGATATTATCAATACAGTTCTCATAAATTGTATTTCCGATATAATTTGCTTTTTTTTTATCCGCAATTCATAATGGGTTTTATTTCAAAATCCAATAAAATGCACACATTATATCATACAAGTGTCATATATTCTCTCAACTGTGCAAATATGTTCAACAGTCATGTAAAATAATTAGAGAGATATGTGCAGAATATCAAAATAAGGGCAAATAGAGAAATAATAATATACAATAATACTTACTTAAACATATGCAACATCCAAAGTGTTGTTTCACTTGCTATGTGTGCACCCACTCTTGCTGCATGATTTCTTTCTAGACGTCCAAAAAGTGCTGATATACTATGAGATACTATAGTAGCATGAGACACAGGGTTAGTTGGAAGAAAGGGAGTTTCTGTACTATCACAAGTAGGGTCAGCTTTCAGTACGAGTTCTTCCAAAATGTTGACAATCTCATCCATACCCATTCCTTCCGGTTCAAATAAACTGGCACTGACTTTTCGCGGCTCAGACTTTTTCTCATCTTCTTCAGCGGCATCTTGGGATCCCTGGGCGTTAACCACAGCTTCTAATCTTTCAACTATTTCAGATACTTGAAATTCTAGACCCCCAAGAAGCCGGCGGCCCTAGCAAATAATGTTTCTAAATAAAAGATATAAATCAAATATTAGTATTCGTAGATGGTTAAAAATCTTACCACTTCAACCTGCACTTCATTTTCTAAGCTAGGTTTTGCTGATTCCACGTCAGAAGTTTGCGCATCACTCATTATGCGTGGCAAAATGTTTGCTAAATTTAATATTATTTCTGAAGAAAATGAAGACACCAACAAGAATTTGTAAACGTCACTTCATTTATTTGTTTTGACTTTTAAAGTGTTATTTTCTGTGACTGTTGACATATATAATAAGCTTCTGTCTCTATTGAGCTTCAACAATGCCAGCTGCCATCTGTGGGTAAGAGTTTCAAAATCCGTAATGGTGTAATCTGTGGTGATAACTAATAATTTAAATTCACTTTATCTGTGCTGTTATTATAGTTAATTTTTAAGAATAAATCAATGAATACAAAGTCGCAATTAGATCTACAAAATTAAATCTAAGTAGAAAATGTCTCTTGTAAAGATTTTTTCTGTGACTTCTCGTGGTAAATACACCTAAATGCATTCTTATTGCCAATTTTAATAATAAGATTTGTTTTGGTTACGCAACTGTCACTATAACCTTTAAATGTTTATATTTCTCCTCAAAAGCCTGCATAGCTTACAAGAAATACTTCGGATTCCATTTGTCATAACATTCAATGCTATGCATGATGTAGTCAATTTCAACGATCTTCTCTATAGTATTTTTCAAGTGATTACATTAGTTTAAACATTTGTTTTTAGTGAGGGCAGCCAGTGCTTGCAATATCCGTCATGCTCAATACAGTACTCCTACTGGGGGTAAGGTTGAGACAGTGTACCCGCAAGAAGTGCCAGGATACAAATATGTAAATGCAGAAGACCCTGACATGAGCTTTAAAGCTATGACCGATAGAGCTGCACAGACAATGTTTTGGACAGAGTTGATTAGAGGTTTTGCTGTTACTTTTGCTCATATTTTTAAAGTAAGATTTAGAATATGAATTATCATAAAAACTGAATACATTCATTAAGTTGTCTTATATGTATATTAAGTCAGTCTGTTAATATATTCTATTTATGTGTGTTTTAGGAGCCTGCTACGATTAATTATCCATTTGAGAAAGGCCCTTTATCACCAAGATTTAGAGGGGAGCATGCCCTAAGACGGTATCCTTCAGGGGAGGAGAGGTGCATTGCATGTAAGCTATGTGAAGCAATCTGTCCTGCACAGGTGAATTAAATTTAATATTGTTAGCATAATCTGTAACTTGGTAGTTATCTCTATAAGGAATGTAACTGCTCATACAATATTTTGTTACTTCTGAAGAAGTTATATTTGTGTTTTATTCACAGGCTATTACAATTGAAGCAGAAGAGCGCAAAGATGGCTCACGAAGAACAACTCGTTACGATATTGACATGACAAAGTGTATATACTGTGGTTTTTGTCAGGTAGAGTTAATAACAATGGTTAAAACCAAATCATTAAATTAATTTTGTTGCTTGTATTCATACAATAGTAACTTGTATATTAGTACTAAATACCTGAATTGTATTGATGAAGAAGTAACACTTTTTTTATTTACAGGAGGCATGTCCAGTAGATGCAATTGTAGAAGGACCTAACTTTGAATTTTCAACTGAAACTCATGAAGAGCTACTTTATAATAAGGAAAAATTACTATCAAATGGAGATAAATGGGAGAGTGAGATAGCTTCTAACATTAAAGCTGATCATCTCTATCGTTAGTGATTTAAATCATAGAAAAACAATTATAGCCATTGATGATTCTTGCATTGTGTTTTGATTTTAATTTTTTTTTTTAACCATAGTAGATCAATTAGTGTTAAATATTGGCCCTTCTGTGAATATCCTATTTATTTAAATATAATTAAATAGTACACCTTTTTACTTAATAAATGTAAAATAAATATAAAGTATTGTTTTAATGTTATCAATTAATAATCTGAAACATATTTAAACAAAAGAATAATATAATATATATGTTAATATGATTTTATTTAATCATTCCTACAAAAAAAATTGTGTATATGAATATCAATGTCAGTGAAGGTATATAACTGACATTAAAATTTATTACACTCCCAAACACTCAATATGTAAAATTCTACTACAAGTGAATAATATGCTTATTTCTATTCTCACTACTAGCAGAATGCACAAATTTAACTGGCGAGTCTACATATATTTATATCAGGTCATAAACATTTATAGTAAACTTAGATATAATAATTACATTAATCATATTTTTGGCAAGTACTTATCATATACAACATAATAAATACAAGTACAAAAACTTAAGCATTTACTTATTGAAAAGTCAATTTCTTTTTAATATAGGATCCAATGTCTCTTTAGAAATCAAATTGAATTGTAATTTATCACAGTAAGCAGTGGTTTTATTAAAATAGTTGCTTTGATTTTATAAAAACAAATTGTCGGTAATTTATCAAAGTTTTTTAAGTTCTGTTTTATAACAAATTAACTAATACTCTTTAATGAGTCTAATATAATATGTCTACTACTGTTGATAATCATTCTAATTAGTGTGATTTCCTCCTAATATCTTATATGTATATCGTTCTAGGTCTTCAATAACAGATTTAATGTCTCTATCAGCATTAATTGTCAATACTTCACATCCCATATTCCGAGAACTGAACCAGTTTTCATAAGACTCATGCACCTAAAAATCAATATTATTTTATAATTAACTATGATATATGCTTTATTTTCTGGTATATAGGCTATGGATTTCATTGTTGTATAATTATTTTGTATTAATGTAACATTTAAGAATGGAACTTTAATTGACTATTAGCAGTAATCAATTAAAGCCTCCTTCCACTTTTATCTTCCAGAGTAGTTGATTTTATATTTTATTTATTCTTTAATATACTTACTTGCTGTAGATATTCTAAAGGGACTTCGGACTCTTCTTTTCGACCCCGGTTCATCATTCTCTCCCATACAACTTCAGGAGTCGTTCGTAAATATACTAAAAATATTAAAACATTTGAGATCAACAATAGAGTAGTCTATGTTTGTATTGCTCTTGCTTCTATTTTATAGAACTCAATTAGTTAGTTCCAGAATAAAATACATACCTATCAGGTCCAGACTAATGTCCAGATTTTTCTCTGTGTAATCAAACCAATTTTGTAGCACTTGGTACTGGGGGTCACGAAGAAATTTATGTTTCTTAGCATTTTCAACAAAACAGTGTCGACTATTCTGTACAGATCTAAAATTTATGTGACCATATCAATCAGTAACAAATAAGAATAAAAATCTCAAAAAAATAAATATTGAAGATACCTTTCAAAGATCTTAACAGTGATATTAGGATTAGAAGGTGGACTGGTTTGAATTTTCAACCGGCTCAGATGCACATAATGTTGAAATGCAAAAGTCCATTCCTTAAGATCACTGTATAAAAGGCCCAGTAGGTTATGCCCGCTCACGTTGCGCCATTCTTGTATAGGTTCCTACAATATGTATTATTACAGAAAAATGTTCCTATAGTAGTAACGGAAGACAACAATTACTAGAACGGGGCTAATATATATGATAAATAGCATAATGCTATTTATAAAATGTTTGTTTAATGTTGCAAAACATTGTTTCGTTGTACAGGAAAATTAGTTATTATATAATTAGGTTTAATAGTGTTAGTAATCCCATCTACGAATTTAGTCGAAAGTAAAAACTTACCGAATGCGTTTCCACATTCTTATATTTGGCAAAATGTTGTATACAAGTAGATTTTCCTGAACCTATGTTTCCTTCAATGGATACACGAAACGGTCTTTTCGCAACGCGGGCAGCTAGTCTTATAGATTTTACATTAGACATTGTTTAATTTTATAATTTCAACCACAGGCCCTTTGTGAATCTTCGTTTGTCATAACAATTTGGCGCCAAAAGATCGTAACTCAAGAACCGGAGCATTTTCATGTCAAGGTATTCAAATCTTGAAGCTTGATGGCATGACAGCCAACAAAAGCCAACTATTTCACAGAGAACGCAATCTTATTTTGACATTAGATTTTTGTTTTATTTTCAGTAGTATTAATAATTATTGTTAATAATAATTTTAGCCCGGTATTTGGATGTTTTTTTTATAATTTTCTGACAATAAGGGCTTTTGTTGGAATTGTTTCTCGTATACCGTTATCATACTTTACTATTATTGAAAGTAAGTCTAACGTTACTAATTAAAATTGTACCTATAATTATATGTTAATATAAATATATATGCATGTATGATAGCAAATAGGTTGTTCTTGCTTATATTTTCTCCTAGCGCCATTTAGGAAAAATATTTCTTGTTTTCTTTTTTTATATTGAAGTCTAACGATAGGTAGGTATTCCGTTAACTTTGATTCGTTATGTCATTGGTTTATAACTATGTTATGAAGGCAGTAGCAATTAATGCTTACTTGATAATGGTTTGCCTGCTAATGCAGGTACTAATTAGGCTGTTAATTAACGTTCATGTTATATTAGGTAATAGGTATGGACGATGAATAATATTGATTTGCCTAGAAAGATTTTATATAATAAAATGTAGTTAATTCCGAGTAACCAACATTATTACTAATATTAATAAAAAATAAAGTTTAATAAATTTAAATATAATATAATACATTTTTAAATATAAAATGTATTATTAAAGCATTATTTAAGTTTATTAATATATGAAAAACTTCCCTACATACGCAAAATGTATCATTCACATGTCCTACTTACACAAAATTATTGAAATGACAATGGACTTTATTTTGCATTGAAACGGTTTCTTACAATATAATAAGATATTTCGAACGTTAAAAACGCTACTTTATTCTGATCAGACGTACGTCAATGTATACAACCGAAACCTTTCCTTTTTTATTGAAATATACCCATTTGACTATTTGAGCAGTACTTCAAACGTATCTAAACTGTTAAATCGATTGACAGTTTCATTTCAAACACAAATAACACGGCTACTGGGCACATATTTCACAGAACTAGATTGAATTTCGGCATCTTTTTTAGTATTTTTTTTTTGAAGTGTGTACGAGTGCAACATTGCGTTTGCTAATTTTTAAATATTAAAAAAAATATCTTAGATACCAAACGAAATTATTCTGTTAGGTATAAACCAAAAATTTACAAGGATATTCAAGACGATTAATTAAAACACTAGCATTTTAGAGAGTCATGAAATGGAGCAATAATAAATTGTAGTTTATATAAATACTTTGTAGACTTGATATATTATTACTTCCTAAAATGCTAGTTGTTTTATTGAATAACCTTAAACTTCTTTATACTTTTTTTATATCTCACACAAGACTTTAATTAATAGAGGACTAGGAAAATAAAAAAAAAATGCAAATCTATGGAACAAAAACATTTTTATACAAGGTAAGGCGTTTAAATAAATGAAACCCTGCTTCGAACTTAAATATGTAACGCTTGGTGATTTTTCAATGTTGAATTAGTGTTATAAATTGCAAAATAATAAATATTAGTATTTTCTAACTATATTTACGTTTATTAAGAGCTCCTAGTAATAGAATTATGCTATGTAGCAACTATCTTTTATACAAATGTATATTATAATCATACTTTCATGTATGTCATTGGTGTCTAAATAAACAATTAATTATAAAATATTAATATTAAATTGTGGTTAAATTTGGCGTTTGATAGGATATCGTACCTATATTTAGTGAATTATAAGGACGCTTGTAACTATGCTCTCTTGCTTTAGTTGTTAAAATGCCGGTTCGTTGCTTATTCCATTTTTTATGGGCGCCAAATCAAAGACAAATTCGACACAATAAGTAGTGTAGATATACATATTTTATTAAAGACTACCGTAACCGAACTAGTTTGGTGTCCGTCTTATGCGATACACATTTATGCAACACTTAACGTGTATTTGTGATGTAAATTAAAAACAATATGAGTAAACTGTGAAGAAAACCTCTTTTTATTGGTATGATCTGCCATAGCTGGGTTCAGTAGAATAGGTTTAAAGCTAATAAAACATAGATAGCTGGGCAGTGAAAAGTGGTGGAAACAAAGCGATCACTCCCCAATTGCCCGTGGACCACTCGGCTGATTGACCCGACTGGGGATTATTGAAACTCTACACACAGAATGTTTCAAACAGAAGGGGCGCTCAGAAATATATCCACGATTAGATAACATTTTAGATATTAGACTTTGTTATAAACGATTGTTATACTATTTGAATTTAGCGCGGTAAAGTTATGTTCCACATAACTGGCAGACGATATTTTGAAGTTATTATTGGATTTGAAGCCTCATATTTTCCTACTGGTGGTGACATTTCGAGTTCACCAACGCTGTATTTTATGGCTTCGTTCATCGTTATCTGTAACTGATGGATTTTAAATTCAGTGCCTGATCTGATGCAAGCGAATGTCGACTTTCACAGTCCAACGGAAATTTTGGTTAGAATTTAAAAGTGAAGCGAAGGAGGTATTTTCGTGTGTTTTAACTATGACCCGACTTTTCGGATTCTTTACAGCGTCTATGTTCATGACGACAAAGGAACTAAAGATGTGGGACGGCCCTACAGAGTCTTATCATCTACGTTGACGTTTAAATACACTGGGTATTTAAAAGTTTATAGAGGTAGCTTAGAGAAAAAATACGTCTTTAATTAATTTATAAAAATTAATAAAATTATAAGATACGTAACGGCTACACAGGCATGATTAATAAGAATATTGTCTATCACAGATAAGGTACACAATTTTTTGGTCATAGATATTTAAAAACCTTTGGAAATTACACGAATAAAGTAAAAACTGAGAAACATAAACATGTTTACAGCAACAAACACACAATAAATTAATGACATTATGTAATTTGAATAAAGACAAAGCAACGTCAAGAAATTCAAATCAAGGTAGAAGTTTGACATAATTACGCATTGAGTAAGACCCCATACGTAGGTATTAATTTAATCCCAATGTCGCAACTTTAATAGGGCGACATCTTATACGTAAATATGATTAACTCTTGTTAAAATTATCCAGATTTGACGGATCCGTCGGCCTGTGGTAAACTTGTATAGGTATTGCGGGTCAATGTATTTGCTTATGTTTTTACGACAAGTCCTGAAAATCCGGAAATTAAAGAGGCGGTAGTAACATCGATTTTCTGCCCAGGTCATGAACTACCTTTTACAAAGGGGAAAGCCGTGAACTGTAAATCTGCGTGTCGGTTTTAGTTTGTGGACTTTCATCCGTCCAAAGAAAAAAATAGGCCGTCAAGACATCTACACTTTAGTTAAAGCGAACCTCTCACTTGCCTTACCGCGTCATAAAAAAGACGATTACACCTTGGTTTTGCAATTCATTGGTTGGTCCAAATTGTAAGACACTACAAGATTCTTTTAAGTAGAAAAAATAGATATGTTTTACGTATGTAACACAATTGTTAACAAAAGTCACTCTAGAAGAATGACAAAATACCGTTACAAAAACCTTTAAACATTGACATCCCTAACATTTGAAATACGGCGTCAGAGAGTACAAGATTGAGTTTAATTTATTTCGCCTTTTACTATGCCTGCTCCTAATATCCACTGATTTGCCGTCAAATTTAATTATGGCGTGCTTTTGACGTCGACTGTGGAGTAATTTTGTTTGTCTCTCTTGTCTTATTTATGTTGATGTCGAAAGAAAATGTATGTTTCAGTGTTTTTAGTATAAATAAATAATACTTAAGATGGACACGAAACACTCTGATACGAACGCCGATGCCACTAGCAACTAAAACAAACAATCACTTATTTCTTTGGCGATAATATTCGTAATCCGGCAGTAATTAAATCCCTATAATGACAATTAGGTACATTCGTTTTATATAATTTGTGAGGAATTAAATAATTATTTTGTGATCCTAATAATGTTATACGAGTATAATATTCTACTCGTAGATACATTAATTTATTTATATGTAAGTACTTGTACATACATAATAAAGATACATTATAGCAATTTTAACATTTATTATCAAGTAAACATTGTGTATCTATGTATGTGTATCTCTTTGTTTTCAGTTGAAAATAAACAATAAAACGGCAACACGAAAATCATTTCACACATGCATTGTGTCTACTAACAATGGCATGTCAACGAGCATACACGACACGGCCAACAAGTCATTGCGTAATAGTGGAATGTAATTGTTAAGCGTTGTTATTTCATTCATTTTTTAAATCATGATCATTGTAGTTTACTGGGAAATAAAGTTTATTTAATGAAATCCACATTTTTTATACTTTTGCTTTATCTGTGGTGCGATTTAAGATTGACACTGGCAGCCATGGTCATGTTATAATTTAAAAATAAACTGAACAATTTGATCAAACTATAGTAATGTAACTACTCGTTAATATAGAAATATATAAATACATATTTTAAAATAAGACTACAGACACAAATCACTATAGATTTGTCTTAATTTTTTCGTTAACAACGAGGTATTATAAAAACAAAATGCCAGACAATAGAGTAAGCCCCGCGGCCAGCGGAAGAAGCGGAAGTTTGTTATTACGCAAACACTATCCCACAATGCGTTCATTATTTCATTACATAATAGCAGTGATTCTTTAATTAAATTTATTCCTTAATTAACGAAGCGTCGAGTTACTTTCTGCAAATATGTCGCTCTTTATATAAAACAACAATACAGTCGTTTATTCTATAATCTATAGCAGTATATTTGTGCTCAGATATATAACAAAACTTACACGCACTAAGACTTGGAGGTATCATGTGTGAACCATGGAAGTTGGCACTTTGTGTCAAAGAAGGAACTTC